AGCATGTGTGCGCCCGTAGTTCTGTGGTTCCTTCCACACGGAGCATAGCAAAGTCCACCTCAGAATGCCCCCCAAGTGCTGTTAGGTTCTTTTAGGCGAAACAAACCTACGGCCTTCAGAGTTTTTTGGTTTCCCGTCCTTCTCCCAGAGTTTGCTGCTATGTGTCTTTGAGCGGTTTTTCAYCATACTAGTCTCCCATCCTTCCAGCGGCGTGCCATTCCATTMTGGTCCATCGTTCCATTCCCATCACTCCATTGAATCCATTCCCTTCTGCTCTGCTCATCAGTTCTGTTTCCTTTCCCCTACTGTAGCCAGTAGATTCCTCCCCTTGCCATTTACAGTAGGCCCCTTCTCATTGCTTTCAGTATCATGTGGAAGGCACTGCGCCGAAAGTCCGGTGGATCAAACACGGGAGGCTCAGCCCGGGACACACAAAAGGCATGCGSTGGATCCACCATGGGAGGCCGGGGCAGGCAAGAGGCCCAAGAGGGACTCTGCAACCTGACTCTGAAGTTTGAGGAGCGAGATAACTTGGTGGGGGAAGAAAAGTTTGATGTGCACCCTTGCAAGCCATGGATTGCTTCTGTCTCTGCTGGAAAACCACCAACCCTTGCAGTGTGGAATTATGCAGATGGGCGGCAGGCTGCCATCCCCGTGCCTCATGCTAGCACCATCTTCGGAGCAAAATTCCTGGGCCAGACAGATCGGCTGGTGGTCCCTGTCGGAGCTATGTTGTATGTTTATGAGATTTTGCATTTTTGCGACTTCCAGATGAAGAAAATAAAACGAGTTGGTGATTGGTGTCTTCATACGGATTTGAACCATTGGACTGTACATTCGAGTGCCCAATGTTTCTTGTTCTATCAGCACGAAACTCAGATAATCTACTTTTGGGACTTAACCAATGGTTGGCATGAACGACAAGGAATCAGTAAAGAGGAAGTGACCATGGTGTGCTTTCACCCTCTGGAATCACACACTTTTGCGACYGCACATAAGAACTGGACTATCAACGTGTGGAATGCTGATACTGAGAACATGGTAATTCTCCAAACATTGGAAGCTGAGAGCAAAGTTACTTCTGTACGATTCTGCACAAAACCCCAGAAGTCACTTCTCATCGCGGGCAATGAATCCGGCAAGCTACAGGTGTGGGAATATGGGAGGAGAAAATGCCGGACCACTCTGGATGCACATGAACACGTTGTTGTGCATGCTTTCTTTCATCCACACTTGCCCTGCATTTTGAGCGCGTCTGAGGAGGGAACCATCAAGGTCTGGGACGATTCAAATTACCAGTTAATAAAAACGCTTTGCAGMAGCCTTGAGGGATTGCCACGCAGCGTTCTCTGTAGGACAGACAGCATGCTTGTGCTTCCATGCAAGGAAAAAATGTGTTTTATGACGATCGAAGGTGACAAAAGACTCCAATTTGAGAAAACMGATGCACCGGGGATAAAGCAATTGGAGAGGGAGCTGAGGACTGTGAGGGAGGAGCAAAGGGCGCTGGAAGAGGGATTTGAGRCTCAGAGTGAGAGGCAAACAGATGCACAAAGCGTAAAGGAGTTGGAGAATGAGCTAAGCAATGTGAAAACGGAGAGGCAGGCACAAGGAGAGAGATTTGAGGCATTTAAATTGGAGCAGGAGGGGAGGGGTCCGAGGGGAATTACGCACTCAGAGAGGGTGAAGCAGTTGGAGAAMGAAAACTTCAATCTCTTTGCCGAGACAGTGACACTCAAAGAGAGATTAGAAAAATCAAAGGCCGAGGTTAAAAATTTGGAATGCAGGTTGGAGATGGAAAGAGGTGCAGTGGAGGGATTGAAGACTGTGAGGGCAGAGAAGAGGGCACTTGAGGACGAATTTGGGAAAGAGAGGCGAACACATGTACAAAGGGTAAAGGAGTTTGAGACGGAGCTCGACAATGTAAGGACGGAGAGGCGGGCATTAGGAGAGAGATTTGAGAGATTTCAAACGGAGCATGAGAGGGCAAAAGGATTGCACTCGGAACTTGTCAAGCAGTTTGAGGACAAAACAGCAAATCTGTCGGCCGAAAGGGACGCACTCAGASAGAGAGTGGAGAAATTGAGCATGAGGGTTCAAGAGTTGGAGTGCAGGTTGGAGCYCGAAGGAGGTGAAGGTGAGCGATTGGAAAGGTCTGATGGAKTGCGAAAGGGGGTTCCAAAAGTGGACATTAATTCATTCAGAGAGTATTCCCTGGACGAACTGAAGACTGYCACACGTGACTTCAATGATGATTGCAAACTTCACGAGCAACATTACGGACACATTTATACAGGAAGGATCACATCCGTTTTGATAAAGAGACTCGAGTATGGCAATGCCATGACACAGAATCAGCAAGCTCAATTGACGAGGGAGCTTGTGGAGCTATTGAAGTCTCTTCGACACCCGTACCTGCAGACCTTGCTTGGAGTGTGCTACATACRAAATTGTCTTGTGTACGAACACATGGCCAATGGAAGTGTCAAAGACCTGATCTCCTCCTCAGAAAGGTCACAAAGAGGCTTCCTCCCGTGGTACAACAGGTTGCGCATAATTGCTCAGATAGCCCAAGGCTTGTCATTTCTTCACTCCAACCAGTCATTGAGAGGTGGTCCCATCGTTCACTGCACCATCAAGCCAGAAAACATCTACTTGGATGGTAAATTTGTCCCCAAAATAACAGAGGTGGACATGGCCTTGCTTGCCCCACTGCTTACTGAAGACGGTGATACACATGATACACATATGCTCCCAGTACGTGATGCAAAGTACCTGGCCCCAGAGTTTTTTCATACTGAGGTCTTCACTCAGCAGACGGATGTTTACGCATTCGGGATCACAATCCTCGAGATCCTCACCGGAAAGTTCAGGAATGCATTTGGAATCATGGAAGAGGCTGTGGAAGATGTGGAAGCATTYAGAAGGGTCCTGGACCCAAACGCAGGAAGTTGGGACGTGGATCTGGCCCTGGAAACAGCGCAAGTGGGTGTGAGATGTGCAAATCCGAACAGACATCACTGGCCAAGCATGATGACTGGTGAAGGTGCCATTCTGCCTGCGCTGGAGAGTATAGCTCATATGACGTGATTGAGGACTTATGGCGGATGAACTTTTGGGGGTAAGTGTGCCATAGTGTTGAAGGGGAAGAGTGGGTATGAGAGGGCCAGCTGGAGGGGTAATATGCTTGTGGACGGTGTAGCCTCAATGTACAGCAGGCAGTCGACATGGATGGATCATTTGGATTCATTTTTCTGACAGGTTTCTTAATATAGGTCGGATGGAATAATAATACAATGTGCTCATGTTAAGGGGTGTTTTACAGTCACTCACTCACTATCTACCTTCTTTTCCTTTCATTTTTTTTCAGTATACAAAAGGGTGGCGTCCATTTCTTTTTCAGTCACTGACTCACGATCCACCAAATCATTCACTCACTCGCTTGCTCCCCCAGTAACTCTGTCACGCACCAATAGATTTTCCCACTTTCTGYTTCTGCATGAGCTTTTCCTGTGGTTCAAGGCGCAAACAGACTCCAAGTAGGTCATGACGGAKGAGTCACTGGATTTGAAGATGAAGGATTACTATTAATAGTATTAAAAACTTCTTCAATCTGTACAACATGCTTCTAACAGGAGTCTCCGGCTGTTAGTTGGCCATCCGTCGCCCTCTTGATTTTCATAAGGCTTTGAATACTCTGAGTAAACCCTCTTGCCTGCCATCATGGAAGCGTGTTGCACTCCCACTTCTAGGTGAGAGGCAGAAATCATATGGAGATGTTGGCAGCCTYGTTTTCTCCGATTGCGAACAACACTTGGGATCAGGAAATGAGAAAACAGARAAAATGACATGTTATATTTTTCAAGCTACCATTTGACTACTCTGCTTCCCTTTTGGCCACCGTGACTCGGAGTGGATTTCGTGCGTTGTGATGGGTGGGTCGTCAGTGTTGCATTATTCAATGTCAAAAGCGTACTTGTTTTGAATGGTTGTTGAGCAGTGCGTATTGGACTGCTTGTGTTCTCTCTTTAAGTGAGACCTGCTATATCTATTAGATTTAGATGCTCTATGAGATTTACAGTGGTGGCACTGGCATCCACTGTCTTTGAGCCAAATGCGCGTGTGTGTGTGTGTGTGTGTGTGTGTGTGTGTGTGTGTGTGTGTGTGAGAGAGCGAGAGAGAGAGAGAGAGAGAGAGAGAGAGAGAGAGAGATTAGAGAGACTGGACGGCAGGCAGGTAGACA